CATTCGATTTCGACTTTGGGTAATATTTACGATTTTCGGAGACTACTTTTTCGAAAAAGATCTGATCCTAAATTTACAATCTCGAAAATAAAGATCTCTCAAATTAGAGTAGCACCCCCGAGCCTTCAGGGGTGGGATCGTCGGGGATCGAGGTTTGCCAGGGTAGAGCCTTCGGGTTTCGGGTCGGGGTTTTTACCTAAAAATTCGTCAGGGGTCAGGGTTTCGGGTGACGGAGTGCTACCCTATTCCAAACGATAGGACATTAAAAAAGCCTGACTGCCAGACTGTCATTTTAAAAATACCGAGGGGTAAATTTAAATAAAACCACATAAATACATATGTACATTTTTAACAATGAAAGAACCAATTCAATTTTAAAAAACACCTGTCCAAGTTTTAAGATTTCTTTTTTTTCAGTTCAATTCAAATACCAAAATAGGAAAGCAAATTGTCTTTTATTTAACAAAAATAGACGACAACCAAAATTAGTTAAAATTTTAATTTAAAAATTATTTTAGCGTTGTTTTGGCGTTCTGTTGTTTTTGTGGTTGTTGGCAAAAGAAGGAAAATTTAAATAATAAATTTTTTACAGAAAACATACAATAAAGATTTAGATTAATTTTTAATTAAATTTATTCTTTTTTCTAGCGCAATTGGCGAACGCCGGGTAGAGAGTTTTTTTAAAAAATTAGTGTGTGTAGTTATTTTGTAGTTGTTCGCCAAACTTTTTGCGCTAACACAAAAAGTGATTTTAATCTAAAAAATTGGAAAAAAATTATTTTAAACAGATTTAATTATAACGGGGAAAATTAAAAATGAAAATGAGAAAAAGGAATAAACGCGGTCAATGATTAAAAATTAAACCGGAACAAAAATTGATTAAAAAAAATATAAAATCAGATGGTGGGTTGAATGGAAATAGGGAAAATTATATAAGAGATAGGCAAAATTGCATTTCCATTGGATTTAAAAAATTTAGGTTTATTGGGTTTAAAATTAAGGCTCCCGGACAATGCGTCAGTGGACAATCGGTCAGTGATCATATAAAGTGATTAAGTGTTGATATAAAGAGATAAAAATCTAATGATATCTCTCCAAATCGAATGATCTCCATCTTAATACAACCAAATAACTTTATATCTCTGTTAATCCTCTCAAACCAGTGATATCGGCCTTAATCCCAATAAATTCCTCTATATCTCTTTTAAACCCCCAAAATCCCTTTTAAATACTTCTAATCTGTTTATATCCCATCTTTAGTCCCATCTTAGTACGAAAATTAATTAGACTTAAATTTAAAATTAAAATACATTGGGTTTAAAAAGATCGAATGGAAGGAGGAGGGGAGGGATCACAAGGATTAAGCTCGCAAATCCCGTTCGTTGCTTAACTCTAGGAATTCCGAGATGGGATCCTGTCAAATCCCGTATTGGATCCCTCCCGTGCCGATCTCTAGTGATTAAATTATTTATTGAAAAAACCCAAAAGGTCAAAAAACCCAAATGGTCATTTTTGGATGACCATAAGGGCACGGCTAAAAAGGTGTGAGTTCTCTGTCGTTTTGGCACGAGTGAAAAATTTAAGGAGAATCCCCCTCAACCTATTCCAAAAACTATTAATTTTGTTCCAATTAAAAGGAACGTGTCAACGGAGGAGGAACAAAAAAATTGAGAAAACGAATGGAGTGAAATTTTTAATTAGAAAAAAATAAAGCAAAAATGAGTTAAAAATAACGCGAATTTCGATAAAATTTTTTTTAAATATGTTCCCAGTTAAAAATATAAAAAAATATTTTTTAATAATTTTTTAAACAAAATTATTCAAAAAAATGTATACACAGAATAAATTAAATTTTTTTAAAAAATTTTACTTTTTTTTTCAATTCTATTTTTGCAATTCAATTTAGAAACACACCAATTTCCTATTATGGTTAAATTTCCTTTTTTGAGAGAAAAAAGATATTACTTTTTTTATATGTATAAGCAAGACTTGCGGACTAAAATTTGCGGTTTAAACGTGAAATAAGCAAAAAAATTGGAAATATGATTAGTCAATAGTATTAGGCATTAGTGGTAAGGTTAGCGGATAGTTGGAAACAGGGGTGTCCGCAAATGGAAAAAAATTCTCCGCAGCCGCAATCCGCAAGTCCAAAAGACCACGCAGTCCGCAATTGCGAACACCCCAGGTTGGAAATCATCGGATATCCGGACCCGATATCCGCCGAAAATTTCGGATATCCATTTTCGGTATCCGAACCGAATATTTCTGGAATCCGGATATCCGGCCTCTTTTTCAGATCCTGATATAACCGGATCCGCCAACCTTAATTAGGGGTGCCGTTTCGCCATTTTTGGCATTTCGCCATTTCGCATTTCGTCTTTCGCTTTATAAATTGATTTTCGCGTTTTCGCATTTTGTCTTTAGTCTTTTAAATTGACTTTTGTCTTCCGTCTTTCGCCTTTCAAAATCAGTTACAGCACACCTCTGCTAAGCATGACTCCATGGCCGCTTATTCGAATGAACTTCAGGTTTATCCGCAAATATCGTCCGCAAATGTCAAAATTTAGCTCTCAGCGTGAGCACTTAAAATCTTTTCCTATTAAAAAAGGAAATGAGAAAAACCCCCTTTTTAATTCATCCCTAAAATAGAAAAAGGTTAAAGACGGATTTGAGCATGAGAAAAAGTAATATACTAAAAATAAAATTAAAAATGGAAAGAATTAAAAATATAAAGTACAAAAAATAGAAAAAAAATAGGTGTTACGACAATTGCGGATACGCAAGTGCGGATGCGACAATTGCGGATTAAAATTTTTTTTAAAAATTTTAAAAATGATTGAAATGATATTCCGTTTTTTTGTCCCGGCTGTCAGCTCCAGACTTCTGACGGTTTCCGAATCATTTTTAGACAGATGTGGCACTGAAAACTCTAAAAAATCTTAAACTTTTTAAAAATTTTATATCCGCAATCGTCGCATCCGCACGTGCGTATCCGCAATTGTCGTACCGCCAAAAAATATTAAAGGTCAGAGTTATTTTTAGCGGAAATCTGAAGGAAGTAAAGGAAAAAACTACTGTCGTAGTCTGGTGATTAACCAGCTAGCTCTAAATGGGTACTAGTGCAGTTTTCCCCCCATCGGTACTTATCCATGACCATAGGTACCCAGCTCTCAGGGGTACCCTGCTCACCATACATGGTCCTGTATGGTCTCTGGGTGTGTAGCAGTGGTGTGCCAGTTTCGCGTTTCGCTTATTAAAATCTGTTTCGGCATACCCCTAAAGAGTAGAGCCCTTTAGGGTGAGTAGAGCCCTTTATTGAGTTAAGAATTTAGTGGGAATATACTTGACCTGAAGAAATAGAGCCTTAATGAAGGGAAACGCCATCAGTGCCCCTTACATGAATTTTGTGGCGGTTTACGCATATTTGATACAATTTGTGATTCAATAGTTTACGAACTGAAAATCATTAAAAGGATCCGCAACTCAAAATTAAAATTAAAAAAAATTATTTTTTAATCGAAGGTTGCCAAAAATGATTAAAAAAAGGTGTGTGTCATAGGTTCAAAGACTAAAATTTCCCTTTTCAAAAAAAAACTGACGATATTAAAGGAAGCTTTTTTTTGTCGTGTATAAAGGTTGTAATGACGACATTACAAGTATGTGTTAAATATAAAAGGAATGAGCAAAAAATAAGCTTAAGGCCTTAAAAAAGGCGCGGGCGGGGAGAGTAATGCCACAAGCTTTAAATAAAAAAGGAAAAAAATAAAAAAAAAATTGGGTGTAAAGGGAATTCGAGAAAATAAAGAGAAAAATATATAGGGAGTAAAAAAATAAAAAAATAAAGGGGTAAGGCCAGCAACACAAAAAGCCTCCATTACAACATCACGTCATTCGTCCATTTAGGAGCAAAAAATAATAACAACAAATATGGAACGTTCAAACAAAAACCTTTTTTGTTGTTGTTAAGGTTGATACGGAGCAATTAACAAAATGAAAAACAAAAAAATTGGAAGGGTAAAAAGGAGAAGGAAAATAAAAATTCCAATAAAAAAAATTTCAAATAAAAAAAAAATCAACAACTAGTGAAAAGCGGACAAATTATTTTTGCGGACAAATTTAGTTTTGCGGACAAAATTTAGTTTTGCGGACAGATTCAGTTTTGCGGCCATATTCCGTGACATAACTTTTTTGATTCTTAACCAATTTATATAATTATTATATCAATCGAAAGCTCTGGATTTGAGGATTATTTTAGCTGACAAGATTGATTTGATCAGATCATCCTAACAAAAGTTATAGTTGAATAAAGATCAAAAATCACGATTGCGCGCACTTATCGAGATATAACTTCTAGTAGAATGATCTGGTCAAATAAATCCTGTTAGCTAAAATAATCCTCACATTGAGAGCTTTCGATTGCTATAAGAAATATTTAAATCAGTTAAGGGTAAAAAAAGTTATGGACCAAAATATCCCCACATCAAACGGATGATTTTTAAATAATTCGCAAAAATTCTGTGCCTTCTAAAAAATATGGGCCATGTTTTGATATTTAGTTAATGCTCTAACAAACATTTAAATAATCACAAATCAAAAATATTATTCAAAAAACATAACAAAAAGATTAAAAAACGCAGAATGCAAAGTAGTTTGTTTATAAAGAGGACATGTTTCAAACAACAAAATTTGAAAAAAAATTTTTTTTAAAGGTTTCTGTTAGTAGGGAAAATAAACAAAATAAAATTTAATTTAAATTTAAAAAAAAGTGCAAAAAAAATAAAAAAAATAAAAAAAATTTAAAAATTAAAAAAAAATAGTAAACAAGAATAAAAATTGACTAAAAAATAACAACAATAATTTATAAGCAGCTACCCGCTAATCTTATTAATTTTTCTTTTCATTTCTCACTCGTCAAAAAAGCATATAAAAATAATTTGTTTATAAAAATAAAATACAATTTCCGCCGGATAAATTATTACCTAATATGTAATTTTACTTCATTAAAAAAAGAAGCAAAAATTTTTGCGTAGAATGACGTTATGATTTTTGAAATGATAACATACCGTATTTCCTATAAAGGAGTCCCCAGTCCTGTAATAGAAAAGGGCTCTAATAGAGAGTCTTGTAATAAAGACCCCTCCTTCCCCCGTACCATATAGGGGTGGTAGGGTAGTATAGAGGAGTGGTACATATAGAGGGGTGGAGGTTGAGGAGCGGCAGAGGGGTGATAGAAGGGTGGTCTCAATAGAGAAAGTTCTATGATAAAACCCGACCATGATGAAGGGTATCCCTGATAATAAGGCACATGGGGCCTTATTCGGGCTAATATAGCATTTTCCTGACAAATCCAATTTCAATAGGTACATAAAATTGAGGGAGATTCCGGACTCTCCCCGTCCCAAAAATTCTTAAGTAGGTGGGTCCTACAACTTTTTACATTTTAAGTCGTTCTGTGAAAAATTATATGTGAATGGTAATGTTAAAAATTAGAAGGGAAGCAAAAAGATGCAGAGAAACATACAAGGTACACATACTTACTAGTTTTCTCGCTTCTCTATGTATACCTAGAAAACCCAGAAAATCAACAAAAATTATTTAATGCCATAAAGTTCGGTACTGCGGTAGATAACGGTAGAAAGGTAACGGACCCGTACTGGAGATTATGGAGTTTACAGTACTAACCAACACTGGTACAGAAAAATACTACTACTACTACACTAAACGTATAACCCCCAATACTAACTTCACCATCTCGTTTAGGGAGATTCCGGACTCTCCCCGTCCCAAAAATTCTGATCAGTAGTTAGTGAGACCACTTTTGTCGCAGATGAAACTGTTCTGTTGAAAAATTATATGCGAATGTTAATATAAAAAATTAGAAGGGAAGCAAACAAATGCAGAGAAAACATAGCAAAAGATATAGTTACTCGTTTTTTCGTTTCTTTAAATATATCCAGGAAAACCCAGAAAATCAACAAATTCTTAGCGTTAAAGTACCGGGATTGGAACGGCTGGTCGGTAGTTCAGGTATCAGAACGGACCGATGAGATTTTAGAAACTTTGGTAGCAGATGGTACCGAGAGTCGGTTAGAATAAATAGACGAATGTGCAGGAAACTAGAAATAGATCAGAAATTATAAATCAGAATTCCGACCGACTCTGAGCAGTACTGGGACTGTTCGGTACACTACCAGTATCAGTAATGCAAAAAATCCATTTTCCGATAAAAATAAAGCCGGTAAACATCTCAAGACTAAATTATCAAACTTTAAGGGAGATTCCGGACTCTCCCCATCCCAAAAATTTAATACCACATAAGTGGTAAGACCGTCCCTGGTCGTTATTCCCAGCCTATTCTCACAAAAATAAATTAAAAATATAAAATAAAATAGTTAATGGGAAGTAAAAGACGATAGAGATAGTGAAAGCGTTCTTTTTCTCTAAATACTGTGTTCCCTAGCAATTTTTAAAATCAAAAAGATCAACTTTAAGTGAGATTAATAAAGCAAATTTTAATTCATGAGATGATAAGAAAATACGCTATGATGCCCCTGGGATTAAAAACCAGCGTAGGCGATTGGGATTGGACGGATTACCCAATAACCGAAGTCTGGTCTATTTTAGCCGCTAAACTCGATCCAAGAAAAATTTTAAAACCCGACCCATCCATCCTCTTTCTCAATCGCTCCCGTCCTGCCATAGGTGACAGATTTGCCAGCCCTTGTCAGCTTTGCCAACCCCTTAACGCCTGCAGGGCATATCCCGGGAAATATTCGGATATCAGGTCCCGTCAACTAAAAATCGACTAAGCAAACATATAGCAAAAAATTGAATTTTGTTAGAAATTATTTTGCCAAATGAACGTGCGAAATAAAAAAAGAATGCTTTTTCATGTGAAACAGAATATATAATATTCGTATAAAAAGTTTTTTTGACGTTAAGCTGCTGCTGCGTTCGCACATTTATATTTATTTAGTGTTAATTTATTCATTAATTTTCGTTTCTTTCACATCATTTCCCTGTTTTATTAATGAGGGAATTTTATTCAGAAAAGTATAAAATACGGTAGGGTATAGAATATTTATCTATTCTAATTTTTGAATAAATATATAAGGAGTAAATTCCAGTTTATGTAAATGTCGAGGTCTTGCTGAAGCAGTGACCCTTGCTCATTATCCAGTCTCAGTCCCGAATCGACCCGGTCTCAGTCTAGGAACCTCGGTCTCAGTCTCATCGAATCGGTCTTAGAATCTCGGTTTTGGTCTCGAGTCTAAATTTGCCCCTTGACTTCGATATCGGCTTTATTCGGGGCAATCCGCTGTCTCCTTCCGTTAACTAGAGGATAAAAAAAATAAAAATCTCTTGTTTCTATGTGTAAATTAAGTGCAAATCTGGGCATGTATTTACACAAGTTTTTTACTCATAAAAAATGTCATTATGTAGTATCCCCTAAAGGCATTAAAGGCTGCTATAGTCGGGTAAAGATAAGCTGTCAATAAAGAGATAAAAACTGATAAGCTGTCATCAACGGACGTTTAAGCCTATACTCAAAAGGAATGAAAAAACAAATTTGTGTCCTGGGTTTATAAGACTAATATAGGACATTTGAGTATGTAGCTGAATCGCTGGACATGTGAGTCCAGGGACATTTGGGTCCAAGGACATTCGCGTCTATGGACATTTGAGTTTATGGACATTTGAGTCGAAGGGCATTTGAGTCTATGGTCATTGAATCTATGGACATGTGAGTCTATGGACATTTGAGTCTTGGACATTTGGGTCCAAGGACATTCGAGTCTATGGACATTTGAGTTCACAGACATTTGGGTCCAAGGACATTTGAGTCGAAGGGCATTTGAGTTTATGACATTGAATCCATGGACATTAGAGTATGTGGACATTTGAGTTCATGGACATTTGAGTCCAAGGGCATTCGCGTCTATGGACATTTGAGTTCATGGACATTTGGGTCCAAGGACATTTGGGTCCAAGTACATTTCTGTCTATGGACACTTGAGTCTAAACTTCAGATAATTAAAATGAACATTTACGCCCAAATTAAGAGATAAAAATGGTGAAACAAAGAAATAAAGTTAACGTGGGATAATGAAAAATTGCAAAATAGGTTAAAAAATGGATTAAAAAGGAGAATAAAAGAAAAATAAAAAAGTTTTTTAATCAAAAATAAATCTGCTATAATTTATTTAAAGATTTTTTAATAGAAAAATTTGTGTTTAGAAAACAGCACAAACATTTTAGTAGTAATAAAATACTAAAAGTATTTTTACTCTCCCCAACTTTGCTCGCAGCGACGCCTTGGGGGTTTGTGGTAAAGGGGCAGTAGGCCAAGGTCGCACAATATCTTCAACAACAACACCAACCAACCAACTATCCCCCAACAAACAGCAGTGACTGTCCTTCTTCTTGTCGTCGTCGTTACTGGCCGTCGTCGCATTTCTTCTCTCGTTTGCTTAATATATATTTTTTTATTCGTATTTACATTACAACACCCAAGCTTTGTCGGCGTGATTTGTGAAGAATAAAAAGAGAGAGAGGGACAATGAGGCGAGAATGGACATTAGAGTCTGAGATATGGAAGTTATAAAATTAAATGTTTCATGGAGGTAATGGGCCGCGGGTGTCGAAAGTGATTTTAAAAAGCGAAAGATGCAAGGCGAAACACCAAAAAACGAAGGGCAACCCATGTTACGGACGTTTCAGAAGATTTTTTTTATTAATTTCAGAAGATTTAAATCGAGATTTTCACAGACTGGATGTAGGCCTTAATTGTATCAGTTCGAGACGGTTTTTTCGAGACGAGATTTTTTAGAGAATCAAGATTTTTTCGAGATATCTCGCACGATTCTCGCAGACCCTCAGTTCGGTGTCTAGTAACTCTTCAAGACTCAAATCCCCAGGCTTGTGTGACCTGTTCCTCTTCAAGGCGCCCATATTTATGCGGTGAAGGCTTTCATTTGATTTTGTGAAAGGGGGTTTTTGTTGGTGGTAGAGGTCCTACTAGCGGCCAATTGTGTCGTCGTCGCCTTTAAATGACGACCACTATGGGAATGAAAAGAAGAAAAATTGATTGAAAAAATATGGCCGAGAAAATAAAAGGGGAAAAAATAAAATGCACGCAAACACAATTAAATTGAGAAAAGGAAGTTTTTGGTTTTGTCGTAAAAAAGTCTACCCGAGAAGGGAGAAAAGAAAAGATATCAGCAAAAAATAACGGAAACGTTAATAAAAAAGTGATAAAAAATAATAAAGAGATAAAATGTTTGAAAAGAATTGAGCTTTAAATTAAATTGAAGCAAAAATATGTAAGTTTGCTTCAAGTTTTAAATATTTAAAGTGTTATTTATTTTAGTTTCAAGCTTGAACTTGAAAGTAAACTTAAAGTTTTAAGTTTAAACTTAAATAAAGTTTAATTATTTTTCCAAGTTCATTAAATTATTCCAAGTTTAAACTTAATTAATGCTTCAAGTTTAATTTAAGTAAAAACTTTCAGAAAATAAAAAGCAGAAACCGGAAGCAGCAATCGGAAACATGAAATCGGAAGCAGAAATCGGAAGCAAAAAATATACTCATTCTCAAAAATTTCCGTTTTTAGGGGTTTGTTGGATGAAATTTCAAAACTTTCGGGGCTAAAACTTGTCGCCGACAACTCTTGTCTGAAAGCATTTATTTCCTATCTTGAATAAAAATAAATAAAAATAATATACTAATATTAAAAATAATTATATATGCGTTAACCTTAAATTTTATAAATGAAGTTTATCTAGCTTAATATAATATAATTAAATATAAACAACTTTTTTGTTATTAGTAAGGCTGTGATAGTTAGGCAAGTAAAATCAGTAAAATAGGCGCCTAAAATAGGCACAAAAAAGCCGAAAAAGGCACAAAAATAGGCATGTAAAAAAGGATATTAGACCATAAAATGTGGATAAAAAGAGAAAAAATAACCAATTAATCGTCATTTTTTAAATTATAAACTATTTTTTAAACAATTTTAACATTTATTCGTCATTTTGAATCATTTTTTGAAAAATGGAGTAAATTTTTTTTAAATCCCGATAATTGACAAAATGGAAATCTCGCCCAACACACAAAACACCGTACCCCAAAACGTCCCAAAACCAGATCGTCCCAGTTCAAAATGTCCAACAGAGGAAAAATAAACAATTTAACGAACTAAAAATTAATAATGGGACTTGGCACTGATTTTTTCTAATTTGGGACTGCTTTTTTTTTAGATTTTGCACTGATTTTTAGGCAAAATTTCGAAAAAATCGCTAGAAAGGCAAAAATAGTACCGAAAATTTCAAAATAGGCAGAAAGGCACAAAAAGTCAAAAATAGGCAGAAATAGGCATATTAAAAGT